AGAAAATCAAACGACGCAATATAAGGGGAAAAGTAGGTCAAAAAAACGTGAAAAGGTCATCAGTATCTCATGATGATCAATCAACTGGACAATTCAGATAGACAAATCAACAAAAGAAAAATCACTACAATGAAAAGAAGTTAGTGACATAGAGCGACATCTTATGTCACTAACAAAAGCCCACATTTGTCCTGGTGGTAGACTTGAATTTATTATTGACGAAGAAAAGAATTTTGGTTTATTTCACAAAAATGGTTTAAAATGTTCAATCTGTGAACGAATTACTGATTTAACGAATTATCCAGCTCAACCTACGTATCAATTGCAAATACCTAATCAACGTTTATATGCGGCGAGTGCCATCAGTGGCATTGGTCATGATGGAATTCAATTTGTTCTGTCATTATTAGGTGTCAGTACACCACACCGGTCAAACTTTTACAAACAAGTTCATAACTTGTGAGTCAATTATATTTTTCTATTTAGTCGTATACTGTTTTATTCAGATATGATCAACTATTTGAATTTGCTCATACCGATTTCTTGTCTTTAATTGATGAAATCCGTCTCAATCAAGAATGTGATTCTAAAAAGATTTTGAACCTGACTGTGTCTCTTGATGGAACTTGGAAGAAAAGAGGCCATCGGTCACTTTATGATGTTGTCTTTTTAATTGATGTTGATTCAGGTTATTGCTTAGACTTTGAGACTCTAAGCAAACGATGTGAATCCTGTGAAACAAAAGAACGTACTTTGACGACAACTGAATTCAGAAGATGGGTAAGACCATCAAATTTTTTCTTTATAAGACTAATGGTTTTTTCTTAGTATTCGAATCATCAATCAAAATGTTCCAAGACGTGGGATGGTACCTCTGGAGGTATGGAGAAGGAAGGTGCAAAAAAAATCTTCGAACGGTCTATTAAAAAAGGTACTATGTTCAAATGTCAAGTATTCATTGTAAGGTTGATATTTAGGACTTCGATATATCAATATGATCAGCGACGGAGATTCGAGTGTATATGAAGCTGTAAAGCATACTTATGTTAATTTATTGGGTGATGATCATGTACGTTCAAATGATGCTAATGATTGGACAGTTAATACGAACTATGTTGTTACGAAGGAAGATTGTGTGAATCATGTCAAAAAGAGGGTCGCCAATCATCTCAAAACGTTGAAAAGTCGATATACGGGTTTTGAAAATGAACGAGAAGAAAACTCAATCATAATAGTATCTGAAAAAGCAGCTG